CTCTGTTTGTGCCGGGGGACTGGATCTTTGGGATGAACCAGTCTTTGCCGTAATGTATTTTGGGGTTTAAAAGCCACTGGGACGTTATGTTTAGAAAATAAACGTCTCAGTTTCTCTGATACTCCCTCAACATATGGAATGACCACTGGTCTGGGTCTGGGTTCCTCCTTTTCACCTGTTGGCTGACTGGAGTCCTGTTTGGGTTTCTTCTCTGCTTTCAGGAAGGCCCAGTTAGGATATCCACATTGCTCTAGAGCCTGTCTTGTGTGGGATTTCTCCTTCTGCCTGGCTCCTGAGCTAGTGGGGACACTGTCTGCTCTGTGATACAGATACAGATACAGAGTGACTCTTTGTTTTTCTGACAGAGATAGAGTGGAGAGGACGATACAGTGGTTTGTGATCGTGTCGTTGGGAGGGAACAACATGACTTCAGACTTCTTTTCATTGAAACTTGAGAAGTTTAAAGCCATCCAGTCCCTGATGTCAGCCAGGCAATCGAGCGGAGGTTGAATAGAGCATGTACCATTGTGTCTTAGGGGGAGGTAAATTTGACAGTCATAGGCGTAGAAGTGGAAGGGCATGTTGTGTTTCTGGAAAATAGCACCAAGTGGCAGCAGGTATAAAGAGAATAGGAGGGGACCCAGGATGGACCCCTGCGGAACCCCCCATTTAAGCTCTGTCGCTGCAGAACTAAAATCCTTGATGGAGACACAAAAGGATCCGTCAGCGAGGTAAGATCTGAACCAATTGAGGGCTGACCCTGTGATGACCACCCACTGCTCCAACCTAGCAATGAGGTATGGTCGATGGTGTCAAAGGCGGCTGTGAGGTCCAATAGGACAAGCAGCGCAAAATCACCGGTATCTGTGGATCTGAAGATGTCATTAAAAACCTTCAGCAGGGTAGTTTCAGTGCTGTGGAGAGGTTTAAAGCCAGATTGGAATAGCTCTAAGAAGGTGTGATCCTCTAGAAAGCACTTCAACTGGGACTCAACTACAAACCAGATTCCAAAAAAGTTGGGACACTAAACAAATTGTGAATAAAACTGAATGCAATGATGTGGAGGTGCCAACTTCTAATATTTTATTCAGAATAGAACACAAATCACAGATCAAAAGTTTAAACTGAGAGAATGTATCATTTTAAGGGAAAAATCTGTTGTTTCCAAATTTCATGGCGTCAACAAATCCCCAAAAAGTTGGGACAAGTCCATTTTTACCACTGTGTGGCATCCCCCCTTCTTCTTACAACACTCAACAGACGTCTGGGGACAGAGGAGACCAGTTTCTCAAGTTTAGAAATAGGAATGCTCTCCCATTCATGTCTAATACAGGCCTCTAACTGTTCAATCGTCTTGGGCCTTCTTTGTCGCACCTTCCTCTTTATGATGCGCCAAATGTTCTCTATAGGTGAAAGATCTGGACTGCAGGCTGGCCATTTCAGTACCCGGATCCTTCTCCTACGTAGCCATGATGTTGTGATTGCTGCAGAATGTGGTCTGGCATTATCGTGTTGAAAAATGCAGGGTCTTCCCTGAAAGAGATGACGTCTAGATGGGAGCATATGTTGTTCTAGAACCTGAACATAGTTCTCTGCATTAATGGTGCCTTTCCAGACATGCAAGCTGCCCATGCCACAAGCGCTCATGCAACCCCATACCATCAGTGATGCAGGCTTCTGAACGGAGCGTTGATAACAACTTGGGCTATCCTTGTCCTCTCTGGTCCGGATGACATGGCGTCCCAGTGTTCCATAAAGAACTTCAAATCGTGACTCATCTGACCACAGAACAGTCTTCCATTTTGCCACACTCCATTTTAAATGACCCCTGGCCCAGTGCAAACGTCTGAGCTTGTGGAGCTTGCTTAGAAATGGCTTCCTCTTTGCACTGTAGAGTTTCAGCTGGCAACGGCAGATGGCACGGTGGATTGTGTTCACTGACAATGCTTTCTGGAAGTATTCCTGAGCCCATTCTGTTATTTCCTTGACAGTGGCATTCCTGTTTGAGGTGCAGTGACATTTAAGGGCCCGGAGATCACGAGCATCCAGTAGAGTTTTACGGCCTTTACCCTTACGCACAGTGATTGTTCCAGATTCTCTGAATCTTTTGATGATGTTATGCACGGTTGATGATGATAACTTAAAAGTCTTTGCTATTTTACGCTGGGTAACACCATTCTGGTATTGCTGCACTATCTTTCTGCACAACAATGGTGGAATTGGTGATCCTCTTACTATCTTGGCTTCTGAGAGACACTGACACTCTGAGCTCTTTTTATACCCAATCATGTTGTCAATTGACCTAATTAGTGTTAATTGGTCTTCCAGCTGTTCGTTATATGATCAATTTCCTTTTTCCAGCCACTTATTGCTACTTGTCCCAACTTTTTTGGGATTTGTTGACACTGTGAAATTTTGAATCAACATATTTTTCTTTTAAAATGTTACATCTACTCAGATTAAACTTTTGATCTGTCATCTATGTTATATTATGAATAAAATATTGACATTTGCTATGTCCATATCATTGCATTCAGTTTTTATTCACAATTTGTTTAGTGTCCCAACTTTTTTGGAATCCGGTTTGTATTTTCTCCAGTAGTTCTGAAATAAATGGGAGTCTGGAGACAGGCCGGAAGTTGGATACGATTGAGGGGTAAAGGTTTGTTTTTTTCAGGAGAGGCTGGACAACAGCAAGAATGGACGGACCTAGAGTAGGAAAAACCTCCTTTAGTTGTAGTCGTAGTGTAGTAGTTGTAAAACCAGGGGAAGAGTTGGACAGGTCTTTATATGACCAGGGGTAGAATTAGACAGGTCTGTGTAAAACCAGGGGAAGAGTTAGACAGGTCACGTATAACCAGGGACAGAGTTAGACAGGTCTTTGTATGACCAGGGGTAGAGTTAGACAGGTCTGTGTAAAACCAGGGGAAGAGTTGAACAGGTCTTTATATAACCAGGGGTAGAATTACACAGGGCTGTGCATAACCACAAGTAGAGGTAGAGTAAGACAGGTCTGTGTACAAACAGGTTTAATGTTAGACAGGTCTATTTTCTCCTTCATCAGAAGGTCATCTGCTGACTTTCCTGTTGGATTCTCAGAACCTCACTGCAGAGTCAGACCGTACCTGAACTGATGGTGCTGAGCTCAAGCTCCTCCTCTTCTTGTTTCACACGCAGACATTTGGTTGGTTGGGACAATCTGGCATCAGAGCCAAAGCGGAAGAAGAAGAAGATGAGAGTGAGCTTTAGTGAAAGACAGATACAGAATTGTCTAAATGTTGTCACAGCTGACTGGAGTTTTTAAGGCTCCAGTATACTCATGCGTCCTGTCAGTCATGCGGAAACTGTGTGCACTGTCCGCAGAGGGTTGAGACTTCATACTCAAGCGTCCACCCTGAGGGGCTGCTGTCAGCTCCACAGACAAGGAGCGTTTACCTTCGGGACAAATTGAGGTCACCGAATGGTCATTTGCTGACATGCCTACTGGATTGATTGACAGGTCGCAAAAAACAAACAAAAACTAAAAAACGAGAGCTGGCAGCCCCAGCCGCAGCAGTGATCTGTGTTTATATGTTAGTAAAAAGTTCTAAAAAACAAACAAACAGGGAGTGCAGGCCCTGCAGCTCACACATTAGTCCAGCCCACCAGGAAATCTCCAGACCCTCCTGCAGCCACACTGGATCAGATTTTAATTTGCTCCTGACAAATTCCTTCATTTCTCACCCTTTCAGTCATGGAGTCAATGGAGGAGGAGGAAGAGATCACTTGCCTCTTGGCAAAAAACCTAAAGAAAAGGCCAGATCAGGGATGAAGAAGGGGAATTTAATACATTGGTGTCGCATACAAAACATTCCGTCGCTGAGCAGTTTATTGTGCGACACCGAGTACGTGTACACTGTCGTAAAGAATTTGTTTTGCATGGACATGCCCTGCGGGCGTCCATTTCGACTCTAATCCGGTACGCGTGGATCTCCACGGACCCACGTACCCGCGAGTATACTGGAGGCTTTATTGTGTTTCTGCTGACTAATGATTATGTGTTGCTTCTGTTATGTTCAGTTGATTATCTTTATTTCTGAATTTGAACAAAACTTTCTGGAGTGTCGGGAGTATCAAATTCCAAATTCATAAGTTGAATTTTAAGGCATAGGGGATTTAAAGTGATTAAAAGCTTGAAAAAAATTATTGGCTGTGGAAGTGGCAACACCTCGTCCTGTGACTTTTAGACATGAAGTACAACATTACTGTAGCTCCCACACAGAACCAGAACAGGCCTGCACCTAACTCTGTATTATTTCATCCAAGTCTACACTACTCGATAGTACTGCTAGACATTATAAAGACATATCCTTAGCTTCGCCCACAAAGAACATGAAGTCACGTCTATAATATAAAGACATGTTCTTAACCCCACCTACAAAGATTAGGAAGTCATATGTTTATAATATAAAAACATGTCCTTAGCCCCACCCAAAAAGAAGAGGAAGGCACGTTTATAATATAAAGATGTTATTAACACCACACACAAAGAACAGGAAGTCACATTTTATGATATTAAAATATGTCCTTAGACCCACATACAGAGAACACAGGAAGTCAAGTTTTATAATATGAAGACTTGTCCATAGCCCCGCCCACAGAAAACAGGGAGTCGGAAGTTTATTCATGGATTTCATTTTCTGACTAGCTTCATTTCTTAACTTTGCATTTTGTCAAGGAAAAAAATTACAAGAATTTGTTTTTGTATAGTTTTACAAATGGATGGTGGCCAATTTAAACGACTGCCCCCATTTTATAGACATTTTGCCTTTTCCGGCTGCTACATTTGAATAAATACCTAGAATTTCAGGAGGTGTTTTTGTTTGGGGTCGTTTCATGCCTGGTATTGATTTCAGGATGGCCAAGGAGCGAGGGCCATTTATGGCTGCTTGTAGCTTTAACTCTAATTTGTTTTTTGGTTCTGAGCAGCCACCAAACAGGACAGGAATGGATTGTGAGAACAGCAGAAAAAAATCATTGGACCTCCACTGCCCATCAGTCAGGACTCAAAAATCAGGAAATGTGCAGAAAACAAACTACTCTAAGGGATTTTAAACAACTGCTAAATTCATGGAAAAAACCAGTGCAGACATGTTCCTGTTTTTAGTGTTTTACATCAATATAATGTACAGTAGCTGTTTTTGTTTCTTTTATATAATTTCTTCTATTTACTTTTCATTTTATATGCTTTATATGATTGTCTATTGTTGTCTGTTCCTCATCTGTGTTCTTTGTTTAAAACATGTTCTGTTAAGAACTGTGTTATTATGCTTGGAAAACAGCTTTTGTGCTACCATTATTGAAGGGAGGATACCCCACTGTTTTGAACAATAGGCTCTGTGCACATGCGTCCTGAATCACTTCCCCTTTGACCGGATGTCGGCATTCCAGTTTCCGGTCTAATCCCCGGTCTCGGTGAAAATGGCGTTTTCTAGATGTTTACAAGAGCTGCCCAAGATAAATATCAGCGATGTTCATCGTATTGTTGATGCCTGGTCCCCTGCTCCGACAAGCAAACGTAACAAGGGATTTAAATTGTATATCTCAAGTTACCTGCACAACTACGAGGGTAAGTAACGTTAGTTTGATCGTTGTGATGTTGCTAACTGTTTGCAGCTAACGTTAGGCTATTAGCAACACGACCATTTTTGTGTATACTCACGTTATAGAAACAGGTTTTCCACACTTAAACAAAAGGCTCATATTTTGTGATCATTCTACTAACATTCTGCTCTTGTCAGTTTCTAGCAAAAATCAGGACACAGGTGAAGTCGTTGTCAGGGCTCTGTGTCACAGGTCCATGAAGAAAAATGAAAAACCTCACAGTTTAAGTGTAGGGTGAAGATAGGATTGTTCAGATGACAGTTTTAAGATTGTTGGTTCAGTAACCCGACGTTCCTAATGTTAATGGGGATTTAGCTAAGGTGGTAATTAATTCTTAAATAAAAATAAAATGGAATTGGCTATTTGATGAATATTAACACGTGAGTTTGGCCTTGCTTGTCCCCATTTGGTTATTTGCTGCATGCATTGTTCTTCTTTTATGGTTGTTATGTGTTACTTTTAACCCAGTGTTAATTTGGTAATTCATGCATATTAGTTTTACTTAAATCTAAAGAATACACTCACAGTCTCTGTAACATTATCCAGGTATTTTTACCTAGCGGGTCTCCTCTGGGTTAAAAGTGTTTTGAAATCAAGTTATCTTTATCTCATCCATTCATTTAAGATGTAATCTTGTGATAATTGTATTACACTACTCTTGACCTTCATAGAACATACTCCAAACTAAATATATAATCACATAACATGATACTATGGTTCTATGACATTAGTTATAAAAAAATATTTGGGAAGCAAGATTGCATCATGAAAGAATGGCTGATGAGTGACCAAGCTAAGATAATAAGTTCTTACTATGACATTCTTATGCAGGTGGTCCTGAAAGACTCGTGTCCTGTGGAGCTGATTCACCACAGCTGTACGTGTGTTGCTGGTGCAGCATTATGCAACCACTGTGTGGCTTTGCTGTTCCAGTCAGCACATTATTCTGAGCTGAAACTGTCAGTGGTCCCCCCTGTACTAAGCTGTACAGAAGGAGAACAGCAGTGGCACAAGCCCAGAACTTTAGTAAGTTTTCTCTTCAATAATAGACTCAATTTATTACATTTTCTTGCCGTATAACTTGTAACTGTGTCATGGATAACTGAATAGGGTATAAAACCTGGCCCCGTGGACAAGATGACTGTGCTGTCTGCTAAACCGAAGAGTGGAGCAACAACAGAGGGTGTAAGGTAAAAAAAAAAATCAATAAAAATTCTGATGTATTACAACAGTGTTTCTCAACCCTGGTCCTCAAGGCACACTGCTCTGCATGCTTTATAGATTTCCCTGCATTAACACAGCTGATACAGTTGTTAATCAGTTACCAACTGAAATGAGCTGTGTTTAAGCAGGGACAAATCTCAAACATGCAGGACAGTGTGCCTTGAGGACCAGGCTTGAAAAACACTATTATTTTATGTTTCATATCTGAACGAAATGCATGTGGGTATTCTATTTTTGACTCATGTTCTTTTCTTATTTATATACACAGGAGCACACTCTACAAAGGCCTTAGTGGGGATTTGCCGGACCTTTCTGTCCTTAGAGTAAGTAGTTGTATTTAAATTACTGATAAATAAAAATGAAATTAACAGTAGGCTACAATGTACTAACAAAGAGTTGTAGACTTACCGGTGTATTGAATACTTTTATTTTCAAGTGCTGTCTCTTTGTAAAGTGTAGAATTTTTGAGGGCTTAAAATTAGTTGATATACATGTATT